TTATTTTTAAACTACATACCTCTTCCATTCTATGCTTTTCAGCAGTTTATTTCTATCATTAACTCAATTTTCACTTTAACTTTACAGTTCACTTTTGGAAACAATCCAAAACATTGTGTGGAGGGTAGTGAGGTGGGAGGAACATTTAATGTTTTAAAGGATTACCAGACTTAGGTGCTACATTTCGAGGTGTTGCTTTTCAGCAGTGCCATTGTACCATACTGTCTGCTATTTCTCTAAATGTCATCAACTTGTCAGCTCATAAGCAGGTGTAAACCTTTGTTCCTCCCCAAGTTCTCATGTTCAGTGATGTCAATGGAAGTCTGCAAAGAGTGTTGTGTCAAGAATACTGTTTTTTCTTTTTTTTTGCAGGCAATTTAAAAGTAAACATTTCTCTTCAAAATTAATGTCATTTTGTTGCTACAGCAAAAGAAAGCAACAACGCATTTCTAACTGGATTATTAGAAGTCCTGAAAACAGAAGAGGTGCCTGGAAGGCTGCACTCAGAAAGCACTTAAAAGCCCAAAAATCACCGGAATGTGCAAGTAATGGAAGCAAATTATAAAATAAACCAAATAAAAATATCCAGACATGGAGAGATGAGCATTTCATACCACTACCACACACGTCCTAAATTCCCCAGTTGATACTTACGTCAAAAGGCAAAAAGTCCTCTGTTTGACATCTTATAAAACAAATATATAATTCTCATAATGAACTGAGATTTACTAAAGGAAAAGATAAATTCTAGGATTTTTTTTAAAAGCAGTGATGTACAGAAAGCCAGGACAGTAAGTGGAATTTCTGTCTTTCCAAGTCTTGTTAGGCATCAACAAGAAAAACAGGTGAACGGTTTTAAACCACCAGTGTATGGGACTGTTGACTTAGTGATTTTTCACTTCAAGCAAGGTTATGCCATCTGAAATACTAAAAAAAAAACCAAAAAACAAAAAAAAGGAAAATATTTTAAGATCTTTAGTATTCTTTAACATTTCTAGCATACATTGTCTCTTACAGAAGTGGAATATGAGTTAATGATATGAAATATAAGTAGCAACTTTCAGTGCTGCTGAACTGAATTTAGAATCAAATGCTTCATTGTGAGACTGAGGGATAGCAAGAAAAAATGAAGATCATTTGACTCTATCTTGGATATAAAAAAACTTCCATCTTTAATTAAATTTTTGGATAATTCCCAAGTTGTTATTCCAAGAAGACACAAATGTTTGCAGATAAAGGGGAAGTAAAAGATCTTCTTAACTATTCCAGTGGAAGAGAGAACAGTGTTACAAGTCTGGATTGTTTGCTTTTTAAAAATACATGAATCTGGAAGCCTTCATGGAGATGAGAACTTAATACTGGGTGAGGTATTATAAGAAAAAGTAATAAAGTTACATTCTATTCCTCTAGAGCTATTCAGCCGTTCAGTTAGCAAGGCAGAGAATCAGGACCTTCAACTTCATTGAATGCTGTTGCTAGTAACTTCAGTCAGGTTGTTTAGCTATTGGTTCTTCAGAAATGAAGTGCAAGAAAAGCAACTAACTCATTTCTGATTATAAGTCTGCAAGACAGTATTTCTGCTGTTGCTATTGCCTTTCATCCTAGTGCAGCAAATGAGGTATCACATGTCACATTATTTGGACAATAATTTTGTTGCAATCTTGGTTCCTACTTGCTGTGTATACTGTGACAAAGTCAATCTCATTCTGAAATTGTATTAAGCATACCTGGAAACAATAATACTTTGATTTTTTTTCTTGCTGCTTAAGTAAAAATCACATCTGAAAAGACGAAAACATATTTAACACTAAGTAAATGAAAACAGAGAGAACAGAGAGCATATCTTTAATGCAAGTCCTGGGATGGAGGATATATTTCAAATTTAAAAATAAAAACAGAAGAAAAAATAAAGGGGCACTGAATTAAAGACTTCTAAAATAGAGAAGCATCTCTTTCCCCTCCTCCTCTCTCTTTTCTGTTTTACTTCTTTCACCTCCCCCCAAATGAGTGATTTTTGCTTTAACTTGACAAGTATTTCACAGTTTCTCAAGCATTTAGCAATGAGGATCTAATTGGAAAGTGCCAGGTTCTTTCTTATTACACTTTATCAATATTGTTAAGGGAATGATGTAATTGTTTGGGGTTTGGTGAAGACATTCCATGTCACTTCAGTGTTAATACCAGGCTGGAGCCTTCCTTGTCTGCCTGCGTAAGCTAGATAAACATAGACCTGTGTGCTTTCTTCTCATCTCAGGATACTTACTCAGAGAGATCTTGGAACATATGCCTATTGCGAGCTAAACATTTCACTTTTCATTTTATCCATGTGCCAGAAATCCATTCCTTGGATAAACACTTTACATACTGACACTCTTAAAGTCACTAAACACGATAAATAAAGAGAGAATACATCATTTCAAAACTGATTAAACATTTTCTCACTTGTGACAAATGAACAGCTATACACTGTATGGAGTCCCTAGAGCAGACATTCCATTTTTTTTGTCTTCATTTTGTGTGTAAGATTAACTTTCCATTTCAGCTCATCTATTGCACAACTAAGCTTTTTTAAAACACACATTGCTGAATTTTCCCCAAATCATTATTCATTTCAGAAACTGTTTTTTTTAATTGCTAAAAGAGCTTTCCTTTCGGGCTTTTGCATTTTAATGGAGACAAACGAACAAAGAAAATAATTTAAAAAAAATAATAATTTTTAATGAAAGCTAAAGAAATCCTTCCATGCAGTAGACCTGAACTTATACATGGGCTGAAGTCATTCACTTCAACAAGGAAAATCCAAGCACATTAATCACATTAACTTTGCTCCATCTAATCCATCACTTTTCCTTGCACTACTTGCTTGTCTTGTCATCCTATGCACTTATATCTACCTATGATTAGTCAAATGCAACTAATCTTTTATTTAGCTTCTTAAGCTCCTATCATCATTTTCACCCACCCCTGCCAAAAAGGATCCCAAGCATTTTATTTCCAAGCTAAATTAAAAATCTTACTGAAATAATCATACATAATACAAAAACGGTATATGAAGTTGTCTTCAGTGTTCTAATAAATGCCACTAATCTGATTAAGAATTTCAGTGGGAAGGTGGAAGGAAGAAAGAAAATATCCTTGCTAGATATTCACAGAAAGGAGGAGCAATGAAGCAGAATTTTCCTCCTTGACAAACTGTGTAAAAGGAGCTGGGAGAAGAAAGAATTAGGCCAAGTCAGAAGAAAAAGACCAAGCTAAACCAGAACCCATGGAGCAGTTTGCTTTCTTCCCCCATCAGGCTAATAAAACCAACACAAAGTTTTTGATATGATGGTTCCAGTCTTGCCAGGGAAAAAGATTAGAAGGAAAAGTGAATTAGACACCAAAAGATAGTGATAAATCACAAGATTTCTCAACAGATTGAAGATTCCACTGTCATTAGATTTCTGTCACCTTTGGACTTGTATTCAAATCCATTTTTGATGGGACAAATATTTCCCATAAAAAAGCAATCAGAGATGACAAAAATCTCCTAAAATTGCCGTCTTCTCTCAAAGTTTTATTGTGAAGGAAAATTTTAAAGATAAGAATTATGTAACTGAGCAGCTAAACAAACCTAAGAAATGCCAGGAATGCCTTTCATATACTTGAGCAAGAGGTATGATATTAAGCCAAAGCAATACCCTAATATTATCTCAGCTTGGTAGAACATTGTGCTAATAGCACCAAGGTTGTGGGTTTGATTCCTCTACAGGCCCCTCATTTGGGAGCTGGACTTGATGATCCTTCTGTGATTCTGTAATGAAAATTAAGTGAACACAGACCTGCTCAAAACAGCTGTGATTATCTTATATTCTCTCTCTTGCATTCCATTATTCTCTCCCTTTCCACACCACCATGATTCCACACCTCCGACGCGCCACTCAGGGACCTACCACCTCCTTACAAATAAGGAGGGAGGCTCTTGTGGCACTGACTCCCCTTGGCTTCTTTTTCAGATACTATCTTTAGTACATGGCCCAAGGGAATAGAGAAAAAAAACCTGATGTTGTACCAGGAAAGACATCAACCACCCTGTGGCATTACTGCAGGTAGGAAATTTGGGCATTAAGGCCATAGAATGGCTAACAAATCACAGTAAAAACTAGAAACTTTTATAGCAATATCTTTAAGAGGAATCCTATTGAGAGACATCATAATTCTGTGAGTATATAATGGATATTACTATGTACTAAGTGACAGTTGTAGCTAGTACAAAAAGAAAAAGTACAAAAACTTTCATTTTTAGTGAAAGAAAAACTAATACAGACCATGAGTTTCCCTAAATCTGGGCTATAAATGCTGTCTTTTTATCTCTTGCTGGGACCAATAAAAATCTGTCCCATTTAACACTGCTGCTGGAGAGCTCCCCAAAAAAATCAGAACAAACCACATGTTGTGCAATGCAGTGAGGTTCCCAGTTTTGAAAACTGTCTCCACTGCACACATCTATAATGAAATTTAATGAGGTATTTTGCTTTTTGCCTCAAAAAGTAATTGGAGATCTATTACCAATTGTACAAAGGAAGTCACATTTAATTATACATCTCATTAGTGTATTAAAAAAGTTTTTAATTACTTTTTATAAAATGGACATTTTATAAGTACAGGAAATGGTACCTAATGGATAATAACTGTTTTTGAAAATGCTAAATATCTCTCAAATCACCATGATTCTGGTGTAGTATGAACAGTTTTCTCTCAGTCCAAATGGTATACTCTGAATTTATTTTTACACAAGGTTAATGCATTTTCTGAAAGACAGGAGCAATATACAATATTTATTTAAAGAATTTCAATCTTTCTTCATTGTCAAATTAAAATTGACAGTAACTAAATATCACTTTTCTCTCTGAGTCTATTTCTGTACCATTCAAAAACACAGTAATGGTGGCTACCAGTACAGCAACAGCTAAAAAACCGTATTTCTCAAAGAAAAATCTTACTACATTGCTCTTTCTTACCTTTTATGTGCTTCTGTCAGTGACTTCTCTTCATTTTCTTGGTCTATTTTGGCTGTAAAAATAAAATCAAATAATTAGAAACAAGGTGAAGGATAGAAATGTTTTAGGATAATTTTAATTTAAATATGTCATGTCTAAAATACACAGAAACCACCTGATCCACTCATGTAGATCAAGTCCAAAAAAAAACCCAACCAACTGACACCCCCCATTCAACAAACAGCTCTACAAATAAAACTACACAAATTTTGATAACCCTATTTAAAAGAAATCCCAAAACCACCACCGCAAAAAGAAATTAATCCAAAACTCAAAGCCTTAAAATTAAAAGAAAAAACGAATCTTCCAGTAATCTAAACAACAACCAAGTGATGAAACTGATTTAAAACCAGATCTTAACTAATGATTCCAAAAACTCAAATAATATGGGAATCTGTCTACTGAGAGAAGGAAAAGTTAAGTAAAGAGCAGGAAGGATTCAGCCTCATAGCTTTTCTACAAGTTGCTTGGCAATTATAAATGGAAATTCTTCCCTTATCCATCTTATTCCCTTATCCCTTATCTTATTCCCACATCCATTGAAGTACTAGAGTTGTAGCAGGCCTGTATTGGAAACATGACTACTTTTATATGAAGGATATTATCATTTGGTGATCATGTGAAGGAAATTACAAATAAGAAACTGTCATTCCCACACACTGGTGAAAAAATTCTCTATTTGCCACATGTTCTCTCATAATTTTTGCATACATTTCCCTTAACTTAAATCACTGAAAGAACACTTAACAAAACATCTACTAGAATGTGCACATTAACATAGGCATCACTGATGTGCAAAGCAATTGTCAGTCTGCTCTGTGCATACACTTAGGTGAAATTTATATTTATGCAGTCATTCAGGTAATGCAACTTAAATCTCATTTAAAGTCTGCATGCTTAAGCAGAAAGCTTTTTTAATTTGGTACTTTCCAGACTGCTAGACTTCTGGCCTGTAAACTTGCAAGGGGAATTTTTTGATTCCCATGAGTCAGAAAGTTTTGAAATATGAAAAGGCTCTGAACTGTCCTGGTAACAAATGTCAGTGGTATAAAATTCATACAGAAATTTAAAAAAAGAAAACTTTTAGCTGTTTTTTATTCCAGTTTCCCTACATAGCTGTACAATATAAATTCACTAAAATTATTTTTCTGCTTTATAGATACATTGCCTTTGAAAAAAGAAACCTGATTTTAAATTTGTTGAAAAAAGCAAAGCAACGGCATAATTAGTATACAAAGATAATCACTGCTTTTCTGTTAGATTTTTTCAATCAACAGCAATTTACAAACATACACTCGAATAGGCATGTGAAATCTGTAGCAAAGATAGACAAATGGAATTTCCTTATACTTTCCTCAGCCACAACAATGATCAGAGCTTTGTCTAGTGCTGCAAATGCTTTTTATTTAGTAGCAATGTAGTCTTCCGAGCAGTAGCACTGCTGACTACTGCCCGGATATTTGCAGTGGGAAACACTGTATTTAGTAATCATTACTTGAAGACTTGGGCTCCACCACTGTTATCCTGAAAATGAGAAAAAAAAAATCCCAGCAAACCACAGAAAACTTGAGGGAGAGATGGGTAAACGTTCTCAAGGAAATTGAAATGCACGTGAATCCTGCCTGATTACAGGTTTCAATACCGACTTGAAACTTGGCCCAGATTCTTCAGAAGGTTTGCGAGGACTCACAACCCTTTTGAGTGAAGTTGAGCCCAGTGCTGAGTGAATTTGGGCTGACCTAGAGTTTTTCTTAAAAGCCTTGCATTGCTTTGGATAAGAAACCAGGTGAAATGTGGCAGCTTTTACAGAATTTCATTAATACTTGTTTTTTTTTTTTCATACTTCAGTCCTGAAAATCAAGGTATGACCAGTGAAAACGTAGCTCAAAAGAGAAGCTGCTGCACACAAACACTCTGGATGAAATGAGATCAAGTATCTCACTCTGCATTAACACAATAACTAACTATCTGTGCATACAGCTCCTAAAAGAAATGTTTCTATCACTGAACAATGCAATTTGGACTTCCTTCTATTAAAAAAATGCTTAGAAATAGAGACTACCATATTCCATCCTACAACAGTCTTGTATACATAGGTTGTATTCTTAGGATGTAAATCTTTTTATCACTTCCAAGATCAATGAGATGGAATATCATTAGAGTTGCCTTGTTTTAGGTTCTTTCTTCTTTATTTCAAATGTTCTGCACATTTTTACAAACAATTATTTACCCACCAGTAATGGAGAAAATATTCCACAATTTATTTTTCAGAAGAGTGTAAGCATAACATATTATCCTAAGCTTATCAAAGCATGTCAGAATATCCCCATTCTGGCACAAGTTCTTTTAAATTAAAAAAGAAAATTATTGTGGTCCAGAGAAGAAGAAAAGCAAAATAAAGCAAAACAAAACAAAGTTATTTCTTGTATCTATACTTTTAATAAATTAACAATGAAAAGAAATTCTAGAAACCCTAAACAGCAGAGATGCATATAATAGTGTCTTTTTTTTTTTTTTTTAAAGTAATAAGTACTTATGCATAAGGCAGCTACTATTCCCACAGAGAGAGATTTCATCCTACATCAAATCACCTTTTGGTATTAAACAGAATATTGCAAGGAAAAGGATTTTCTCTGAAGAAGAATTTCCTTGTAGTTTCCTCATATCCAAATGTGATGATATTTTTAAACCTTCCTCGTTTTATCAAAAAGATATTATGCAGGTGAAAATCTAATTTGTAACCCGTTTGCATTATCATTTTTCTAGATGGAAAATGTTAAAGACATTATGAAAACAATTCTGCTTCCACAAGACGACAGGTGGCACCAGTGAAAGTGAAAATATGGTTTATACACTCAGATCTGTCCCTGTCCAAAGAAAATAACCAGATGACTGCTTTTGCACTAGACAAAGTAAACATCCAAGAGCTGTGCAAAATGGGTAGTTGAAGACATGCAGTGAAATTTAATCATGGAATAAATAATCCTCTAATAAAGGAAGAAAACTTCTGTTATCAAAGCACTAGAATTTTTACTATCACCTGGATACAATGGAATAACTATAAGATGTTGAAGCAGCTAGAGATCGTTATAGCTTGTGGAACAGGAATATTATCATCTGATAATGTAATATAATATCTGATTAGTCGTTATATGTACTTTGCTCTGTACTAATCACCTTATCGGTAAACTACTTCCAATTAAGTTTTCCTCTTTGAGCAAGGGAAATATTTTGTTATGATGGATCCAGTTGAAGTGTCCCAGAATGCATTATACTTCATCATTTCACTCAATATTATGCATCTCTATTATCTCTTCTTCCTCCAAAGCAGTTCTTCACAGGTGTAAACAGTGTGTCAAAGGCACTGGTTTGGCTTCTTCATTCTTGGCATATATCCATTAAGTGCCAAATGCCAGCTAAAAGGTGCCCACCTTGGAAGAACATTCAGAGGAGGAAACTGTACTTCCAGTTACAAAAAGAACACCTATAACAGGTGAAGTAAAAAAATAAAAAAAACCTATACCCAGTCCACAGTGATCATGACACAGTGATCATCAATGGCCAAGACAGAAAAATTAAATAAATCCTGGGATAACATGGCAGCTGACCATATCTGAGCACTCTCTTCTGCCTCTACGATTACTCTCTATCTTCTAGAAATAACATTCTTTCAAAAATATTATTATTTGATTTTATTTGAAAAACATTAAAAGAAATCTTGTAGTCATACACTATTCATATCTGCTTTCATATATATTTGGAATCCATTAGCTAATATAGCAGTGACTGCTTGCAGGTTTTCTGACAGATATAGGAATTTCTGCATTTGGGTTAGTTTTCTTCCCAAATATTCCATATTTTTTAGCTCATCATCTTTTCTAACACCCTCAGCTAAGAAATTGATTCTTGACACTAATTTGCTAAAGTATGTCCAAATAAACTGTTCCAAATCTATTAAAGACTATATCATACCAGAAAATACTATTTTATGCAATACACTGGTAATCAAAAGTAAGTAAAAAGTAACAGATTTTTATGTTGGCCTTCACATACTCTATATATTGTAGGGCTTTACATGCAGCTTTCATAATCATGAAGGCAAATATATTCTGAAAAATATATTTCAAATATAGTTGGAAAATAACTTTAGGTCATATTGAAAAAACATGGCCATCTCAAAACTCACAGCATTTTAGAGTCAAAGTGACCTCTAACAGAGTGAAGCTACCTTATCAACAGTTTACAACATGTAGTGATTTAGTTATATTTTCCCTTTTTAGTTTGAAAGCATCTTTAATGCCTTCTCGTTGGATGACATTCCACTGTTTGCCTGCTTTTTCCATTAAGATACCTTCAGATTATTTAAAGTTGGTCTCCTTTTAGAGCAAGGTCTATACTTCCTAAACACTTTATATATTTGGTCAAAAATCAAGTACATTCCTTCCTCCCTACGTCACTGCTTACCAAGTGTGAGGACTGTACTACATCCAAGCCTCTTATATCAATTCTTTTAACTACAGGACATATGTATCTCTTCAAAAATTACTCACATCAGATGTCCTAATTTCTATTCTATCACTTTTTTTTTTGAAGTTTGCTTAAACTTAGTGCTTGGTGTTTTATAACTGGGGCATAAAACTCAATTTCGTGCAGTTCAAAATGAGCTTTCAAACAAGAGCTCATAAATGAAGTCTAATTAACGGAATTCTCAAATCTTCTGTCCTTATCAGCATACGCCCACGTTCCAGAATGATACATGCTGTTGTTTTGTGTATTTGCTCTTCCAATTCTTCTTGATTAGGGTCCTTCAAATGTTACATATAAACTTCTACAAAGGCACATACATGAATAAGCATACTAAAGTGACCTATGCATTTATGAAAATCTGATGTATCTCACCAAATTGAATGTGAGAAATAGACACAGGCATTTTAGAAAATGCTGGTCTTCAGAAGAACGGTAAAATTCACTTTTCTATAAATATTTTTTTGTTTTCAAGAAGCCTAGAAGATA